CACATACCATGTGCCCCCAGATAAGATATGCACCTTGTTTTTGGAAGGCAGAATGTAGAAAAAAAAGGTGTTTCCAGAGTCATTGTGGACTGTGTGACATGGAGTAAATCTTTCTCAAAACACAGAGGACATGTCCAGATGAGTGCACATGTGCCTGTTGCAGTGCCTCAAAGCAGTTTGAGATGCCACAAGAGGCATGCTAGGAACAAAACAATGTCCCTGCGCTGCATATTTGCAGTGTAGTCTCTAAATTTGATACTGGGAAATCCTGGTATAAAAAAACCCAAAAAACACACCAGTGCCTGTGGGGGCTCCTGGTCCCAGGAACACCTTGCAGGATGTGATGGACTATGGGGAGAGGTAGAGGCAGAAGCAGGGTGAGAGAGAGAGAGAGATGGGGGTCAGGGGTGGGGGAGTGCTTTGGGTAGAAGCTGCCACAGCCGGGCTTAAAGCCCCCCTTCCCCATTACAGCAGCCTGTGCAGGGGGAGGCCGGCCTGGAAGGGAAGGGGTTTGCCCAGCTCAGTCCCTGAGCCCCAGTCGAGGGCTTCCCAGGAACATCATGGGGGTCACTGGGGTATGGGCACAGGGAGCAGAACAGCAAGGGCTGGCACTGCTCAGAGTCACAAAGCAGTGGGTGGAACAGCTTCAGCTGGACTCATGTCCTGGTGCTGGGATGGAGCTGCAGCCAGGAGGGAGCTAGTGGGGGCAGGCAGGGGCTGCAGGTCAGGAGTGAGGGGCACTGGTGGCGCTGCAGGTTGAGAATGAGGGGCAAGGGCAGGAGCAGGGCACTGGCATATCAGTGCTGCTCAGCACCCCACATCCTGGTGAGCGAAGGGGACAGGGGCAGCTTTGATTTTTCTATGATAAAAACATCAAAAGCAATGCCAAAGTGTATAGTTATTTAGAATGTGTTTTATGATGATAATTGCTTTACACTTGTAAATATATCAATACAACATTGCTTAACTGATCTCTCTCTATATAATAGCGTTTTATTTTAATTGTGGAAGAACATGGATTTTGGGTATTTTAATGGGAGAATAGGGGGGGGGGGGGGAGGGCGTTTATCAGAGAATTTGCAATTTTTAAACAAGGAAAAGGTGAGGTGCTGGTGAGGCAAGTGGCGAGACCCAGGCAGAGAAGCCTGCCCAGGAACCTAGCTGGCGGACAGATGAAGTGGCTGACTTCCTGGACATTTGGGGCCAGGAGGACATACTTTGACAGCTTGAAGTGGGCCACTGCAAGGAGCACATCTTCTGGGTGATAGCTGCACAGATAGCAGAGCGGGGTACCAGAAGACATGACAGCAGTGCTGCCCAAAGGCCAACTGTGCAGCCAAGGCCCACTGGCAGCTGGCCCAGAGCACGGTTCCCTCTAGGGTGCACGTGTGCATGGCTGCACACAATAAAAAACTTTGCCGCACACAAACCTTTTAAGGCTGCGCACCCGCCCAGAAAGGAACTGGGCATGGAGTGCGGCTGAGGTACCAGGGCCAGCGTGGGACACTTAGTGAAGGTAAGCTCCTCACTCCAGGGCAGGCAGCGGCTCCTCCCTGAGACAGGACAGGGGCTGAGGCTGGGGGCTGGTGTGGGCTCCACTGGCTTCAGGGAACTGCTCTGCAGGCTCCACCAGCTCCAGAGACCTGCTCCACTCCCCTGCATTGCCTCGGGGAGCGAGGAGGCACATGGCATCAGGGCTGGGAAGTGGAGCAGTTCCCAGGAGCTGGCGGAGCCTGCGCCAGTCCCCAGCCTCAGCCAGGATGACACCTGGGATCACACTCGTGGACTGACCCCAAGTGCCGAAGGTTGGGTACATCCATCCTCAATGAATACATCATCTACTAATGGCAGTGCTAAAATAAAGATGCTAAAAACCTGCAAGTATTATTTCTATTATTTTCTGTTATGGCAGAAAGGACCCTCTCACACACCCCTCCCCACCCAGACGTTTTTCTCGTACTCTTAAAAAGCTGCAAGTTCAGATGGATTTTGTGCTGAAGTAAAACACTAATACAGTGCTTACTTAGCCCCCAGGGCTAAGTTAGTGGCTCAACCGGTGACGTTATACAATAACACGAGAAGCACTGTGCAACTTAAAGGAAAGAAAGATTAATGTTAAATGTGCAACTGGAGATGAATTTGGAGATTATTTAAAATATATATAAATTTAACTAACCAGAAAAGCTCTTCTTTTCTGCACCATGTTTCAATATCAAACAATACAATTATGCTCTCCTTGGGGACACTTACCAGCAGACTGCGCCGAAAGGGGGAGGTGGGACTGAAGCAGCGCGCTCATGGACCGAAGCGGCGTGCTTAGAAGGAACGTTGGCCCAGAGGTGCAGGTGGCTCTGTTTCAGTGCTTGTACCACAGCCCAGGTGGCCATATAGTCCCTGTCTGGGTCTGAAAGGTGTGCAGTCATGGGGCTGCAAGTCTAAGGGGCAGATGCTGTTGCAGGTGGCAGCAGGTCACAGCTAGGCAGCAGTCCCCACTGCCAGACTGCTGCAGTGGGTAGAGGGTGTAGAGACCATGCTAGGTTAGGGCTGCTTCAGCTGGCACAGGGGGCTAGTATCCACAGGTACCAACTGGCCAGGCTTCAGAAGCTCCTGAGGGCAAGCAGCCCTGAGCTGCTCACCAGGGCAGCTTTTTATACTGCTGGGGACAGCACAGGTGCTGGCCCCAGCCTCTACCTCCCCCTGGCTGAAGATCTGGGAGGAGCTCGGCAGGGTCAGTTTGCCCCAAGTCGCACAACTTGCCCCACACCAAAGTGCATGTTCAGGCACATGTGTTGAGGCACAAGTCTCTGGCACAGATTTGTGCAGCTGCTATTTGAGCTGCTGCAAGCGCACGTGCCTGCATATGTGGATGCACCCAGAGTGTCCAGGAAGTGTGGCATCTCAGAAGGCAACCTGGATGAGGATTTCCTAGTGTGGCAGGACAGCTAGGCCCCAGACCCTTGCAAGAGTAGTAGCAAGACTGGTACTTCTTTACTGTAAATAGTTCTTTATAAAAGTTCCTGTAAATAATAGAATCTTGTTTCCATGCTGCAAGCCTCATCAACATACTACAGACTTCATGCAGCAGCTCACTTGTCCTGAGCTTGTCCACCTGCTATTTCAAGCACAAGCTACAGTGCTCCAACAACAGCTACTGCAAGTTTCGTAGCAGCTGTGGGAAGGTTAACATGGGACTCTGCTCCTTCTGCTTTCTGGGCCAGAGAGAAGTGGGAGCCACTATGACAGCCATTAGAGTACAACATCTTCATACTTTTATTCCAGTGAAGAAAAAACAGCTTCTCTTCCTAAGACATGCTCCTCAGTTTTGGAGGGCTGATTTTAGGGAGAAAGATGTGTGGCATGTGAGTAAATATGGTAATAACAAACCGAGATAGGTAGGAGTGATATATTCTCTTACTTTTTTTCTTCTGCTGCCTTTATTTGTAAATTGTTTTAGTTTAGCTTTTAATCTCTTTGGGGACCTTCTCCCTGCATTTATGAATCACCCAGAGCAGCTATGCAGATCATACAAAATATGATCATTTTAAGACAGCTTCTAAGCAGAAATATTTCTCCCTGATTTATCCCCATGTAATAAATAATCTAGGAGAATTATGAAAAGATGTAATTCCCTAAGATGTTATTAACTTTTAAGCTATAGACCTAGCCTTGCCTTGCAGTGAATTAGATTTCAGGAAGAAAACTCTGATGTTAACATATTGGCTCAGCTAGAAATGAAGAACCATTTTAGTCATTTACTTGCAGTGCTTACAATGATATGGAATTGATTCTGATTAACTAGGAAGCAACTGAAGTGGAGTCAGTTTCTTTCCCCAGAACCAGAGCCGGCCTTTGGGGTGGGCAACATCGCTGACCGTCTAGGGTGCTGTGGTCAGAAGGCACCAAACACCCCACTGCCCCACCCCACTCCAGCTGATCCCCACCCCAGGCAGGAGAAGCAGTGCATAGCCCAGCCCAGATGGTGCCGAGCCCAGATGGTGCCCCCCACCCCAGTGGGGTCCCCTCATGCACCCCTGGCTCAGCCATTTGGAGCAGCACCCCCGCACCCCTATTGTCCCGAGATCCTGGCACAGTGGAAGGAGAGGCAGGCAGAGGGAGGTGGGGGGCCAGCCCTGTGGCCTCCTGATTGACTTTCAACTTTCCACTCCTCCCTTGCACAAACTTTCCCTTCCTGGCCACTGTCTCCACTAAACTCTGTGCGCCTGTCCTGGCCCAGCCCGGCCTACACCCTCCAGAGCACGGAGCAGGGAAGGATCCAGAGAAGAGCTGCACTGTTCCCAACTCAGGTGATCCAGCCCTAGCCCCAGTCCCAGCCCTGTGCCAAGCTCAGGTGGCAGCAGGATTTATCCCTGCCCTGCCATGGCAGCCCCCTGGGTACAGCCCACCCCAGCAGCCCACTGGGGGGCAATGCAGGGCAGGGGCGGCACCATTTGTCCATGGCTTGGTAGGAGCTGGTGTCCCTGAGGTACTGGTGCCCCTGAGGCCAAGGCTCAGGAGGAGCTGGCTGCGCAGTGGAGGCAGGAGAGCACCTGCTTTAGCCCTGTGCCCCTGCCTGCCTGCCTCTGCCTACAGCAGCACTGCTAGGGGGGCGGGCAGGCAGCAGCACTGCTGGGGGTGGGGGGCAGGCAGCAGGAGGAGAATGTCAGGGGGACAGGCACCAAAGTACAAGTTTGTCCAGGGCACCATTTTCCCTAAGGCTGCTTCTTCCCAGTATTTGGTACTCCAAGCCTGTGCACTATTTTATCAATGTGCTGAGGAGACTATAATTTTACATTCAAAATTGATTGGGAAGATTTGGTAAACCTGATGTAAAGTAATTTAAATGGCAAAAGTAAAATCCTTGTCCCACCTAAATGAATAGCAAAACTCCTATTGAACTAAATGTGGTCAAGCTTTCATCCCAGATCTCACTTTTCATTCCTGTATTTAAAGGCGTTAGCTAAGTTTTAAAGGTCTAAATGTATGTGCTATTTTATACTGACCTTAAGGTAGCTGCTCTTCCAAGTGCTGCTCTGAACTGGGAAATCTGCTCTAGTTTGTCTAGAAGCAGCTGTTCCTTAGCTTGTTTTTCATGTATTATCTGGTCCCTCTTCTCTTCCTCTGCCTTCTTCTGTGCTTCTTTAAGCAAAGCTAAGCGTTCACGTAGTTCCACTATTGACATTTCACCAATTAAGCCATGGCCAGGAGTCTACAGAAAACACCAATAAAGGCACAAATAAATGGTTGAGAAAATGAAAGGAAGAACCACTGTGTAAACAGAGAATATTGCCATCACATTCCAGTTCACATTGAAGTCAGTCTGATTCAACTGATAGACACAGGATTTGGCCCTGTCTTATTATTTACAAGTTTCTTTCAGGGCACAGAGATCATTCTCAGAGCTGGGTCACAGCACGTGACACTAAGGGATGTGGCAATATAATTTTTCACAGGACACATGTCATAAAGGAAACACAAACTGAAGGAACCACAAGTATGAACATTTAATCTGGTCAGTGAGGAGTGCAGTTAACAAAACATCCAGTTCTGACAAGTTTTTTTAATACATCCTTTTAGCATAGGGTGATAGGGTTGGAAGGAACCTCCGAGTCTTATAGGCCAACCACTACTCAAATGCAGGATTCGCTGTTCCTAAACCATGCCAGACAGATGTCTACGCCGTCCCTCAAACTTTTAATGAAGGGGATTTCACAACTTCCTCAGGCAATTCATTTCATTGTCCTACTGCTCTTACAGTTAGGAGGTCTCTTCCTGAGATTTAATCTAAATCTATTTTGCTGTAGTTTAAAACCCCTGCCTATACTCCTGCCCTCTATGGTAAGGGAGAACAAGCAAATATCCAGGTCTGTTAAGTATTATGAATGTGAAAATGTCATGGGCTTTCATTTTATTTTTTGTAGCCTGAAAATGTGTTTTGGAAAAGGAAGTACAGGGCAACTGAGTACATAAAATGTACTAGCTCAAATCCCAGGCATGTTCTGCACCATTACTAGGAAAATGTCACATAAACTTGAGTGATTTTATTAATTTCTTCTTTTTTTTGGACTGGGCAGCTCAGTTTTTGGTAATTTTGCACTTCACCACTTCCTTTTGACTTGATCTGGAACGAGCTTTTCAAGTATGACTTCAACTTTGTTGCGTTTTCGTGCTCTTCTATCAGAGATGAATTAAACAGCAAAACATACTTCAAATTCTGCCTCTGGCTATAACTAGGATTTCCCTGGCAGCTGTATGTGAGGAGTTGGCAGAAGAATTTGGCTCACCGTGACTGGCAATGAAATGAACTAAGCTCATCAATGAGAAAGTACTGCAGTTCCAATCACCTTCATTTTCCTGAATCAGATACTATGAACTGTTCTATAGCAGACTGTGACTGAAAAAGTACTGTAATTTCAAGCCCCGACTCTATTAAAGAAGTGTGTCTGCATTTGCAACATGTTGTGGCAGAAGCAATCTGAGTAATACTGCTACACGCTAGACTATCTGTTTAGGAATCCCGCAGTGCCCAGCATCCATCCCCAGCACTCTCTGTAAGCACTGGTAGGCCTGTGGATTGCTGTACATCCCCACATCTCCGCGGGGTGGATATATTCAATCTCTGGTACATAAGGTCTATTTAATACTTGTTTGCTTCTTTGGTTTTTTTCACTGGTTGAAATGGTTCTTTGCTGTCCTAGGATCTGCAGGTGCAGAATAAGGGGCAGGGGCTGCTCTCAGCTATGTAGATGCTTCGGCAGAAGTTCATGAGTGTTGCCCTCAGTGGTTGCCAGATTGAGTCTGGGCCTAACTGTTATAAGAAGCACTGCCTCTAGCTGGCAGGGCTCTGGCTGGGAAGACAGAAGATTTTATTTCTGTTCATTTATTGTGTTTTAGATAAATTGTTTCACTAGTATTTTTTCAATTCTTATTTCTTTTTAAATTTGTCTTGTTACTGAGCCAGCCTTTATTGTCTGGTATTTCCCTGTTGGGTCCCAAATGCAGCCAGTCGTTCTTTCATCTCCCCTTCCTAATGTGGTATGTATGGTCTACAGCGAACTCATAACTCCTTTGGAAAGGTGGAGAGAAAAAGGGATGGGACGGGGGAAAGGAAGGCTTGGGCACAACAGGGAGTAAGATAGAAGATTTCTCTGGGGGGCTGAGGAGTTGGTTGGGGGGCAGCCTGGCTACTAACTGAAGACCTGGTTGTCTTCAGCTCTCAGGAGTGAAAACTGGTGGTTGTGCTAGTCCCCGCTGAAGGAAGAACACTGTCTCTCTGTTTTGGTTTCTGCTGACTTTTTTCTTTGTGTTTTTCAGCTGAGTTTTCAAAAGAAAAATTGAAACTACAATAAAGAGTTTTGGAGATTTTATTTTGCTTGATCTTTTTACACTTTAATATTATCCTGGGGTATGTGGAGGGTGAGGCAGAGGGGACAAGGAAGTCCTGGGTGGAGCTTAGGGTAGTTAAAGTATATCTCTGATGCTCCTGAAACTGAATCCAGGCAGTAGGTGACTGGCCTGCCAAGTGGCAGAGCCAGGTTCTAAAAATGTAATTGAGTGAACAGACAGACATGCAGGCCCCCGGTTTAACTCATGGTGCTTCACATAAAGTGCCATGAGTTAGAGCACCCCCCCGCTCCCTGCTGATCCAACAGATCCTGTTGGATCAGGAGAGGATCAAGCCTGCCTGCAAGGAACCTGCCAGCAGCCGAGGAGCCACCTCTCTGCCCCAGTCCTGCCCACCCCTCTCCAGCTCTGGGGCAGAAAGAGCTAGGGAGGAGAAAGGGGAACAGCTTCAGGAGCGGGGCTAGGATTGTGTGACATATTAACGCTAGGAAACACAAGTTCCCTAAGGCGCTCAAGAGTGGAGCGCCTTCACCTGATAACTCATTTGATGAGTTTTAATTTGTCATGCAATCGGTCACTTTAAAAGCACTCTGCAGCTGTGTATGTGTGTCACAGCATGGCTGTAGAGCACTTTCAGGGGGCTGACTGCACAAAAAATGTAACCTCTGTTGGCACCCTGAAGGTTATGCAGGACTATTGTGGGGTTGTACTGAAAGGACTAATTGCACCAGTGTAGCAGTACTGCTTATGGGAACATTTGTGGTGTACTAGCTCTCTAAGAGGGCACATTATAGCCACATTAGCATGATGCTGCATATGTGCACATGGGCTAATAAGCTCTCCTGAGAGGGGTGAAATCCTGGCCCCAGTTTGCCTTGACTTCAACAAGCTCATGATTTCATCTGAGGTCACAATGGTCTCCCCTAAAAAGTTTTTTTACAAAATTTGAGAATATTCAGGATTGGATTTGACTGTCAATGTAAGGTGCCTATACTGGGCTCATATGGTGTGTAATGCTGTGTAGTATGTACTATATTTACTGTATCCAAGATTACTTCAAATTTAAGAAGACTCCCCCAAATAATTAGATTATACACATATAAAATTATAATTTATTATAATTCTAAATATAATTGCTATAATTTTCCATGTCTAAAATCTAATTGTTGGTTGGTTGTCTTAAATGTGTTTCCCCTACTGCTGTTGGTGGGTAAAACAGTGGCAAAGGGCCAAACAGCGGGTAAAGTGGTGGGAGGCATGTAGGAGGGCAAGAGGTGGGGGAGACCAGCCCCACCTGTTGCTACATCTCCATTTCTTTCCCCCTCCACTGCTTGGCTCTCCCCCACTGCCACTTATCTTATGTAGCAGTTCTGGCTCCAGCTCTGGCCTTGGGGCACAGCACACAGCAGCTCTGGCTTTGGGACTGGAGAGGAAGCAATTTTGGTTTTGGCTTCAGCCCCATCTGGAAGAAGTGGTGTCAGTGGCCCTGGCCCCAGCCCCAGCCCCAGCCCCAGCCCCAGCCAGGCAGTAGTG